GCGGGGCTGAGCCCGGGCTGAGCCGGGCCGTCCCCAGGCCGCCCTGCTCCACGACACGGTGGAGGACACGGACACCACCCCGGAGGAGCTGGAGCTGCGCTTCGGGGCGCAGGTGCGGCGCCTGGTGGAGGAGGTGACGGACGACAAGGCGCTGCCCAAGGCCGAGCGGAAGCGGCTGCAGGTGGAGCGCGCGCCCCGCGGCAGCGCGGGGGCCCGGCTGCTGAGGCTGGCCGACAAGCTGCACAACCTGCGGGACCTGAGCCGCTGCGCCCCCGTGGGTACGCTGGGCCCGGCCCGCGGGTGCACGCGCTCGTGAGCGTGCCCCGTCCCGCGGACATGATGCGCCCCGTGGGTACACACCCCCTTGGGTACGCTGCTCCCCATGAGTACTGACCCCCATGGGGCCAAGCCTCAACCGTCACAGGGGGGCGGGCGGGGACACAACTCCCGGAAGCCATGCCACTGCCCTGCACCACGCCCCACAGGGACCCCAGCCCCGCGGGCACCCCACGCGAGCTGGTCTGCCCACCCTCCCGCAGGATGGACAGAGAGCCGAGTCCAGGAGTATTTCGAGTGGGCGGCGCAGGTGGTGAAGGGGCTGCAGGGCACCAGCCAGCCGCTGGAGGAGGCGCTGCAGCAGCTGTTCCGGGAGCGTGGGCTGGCGCTCTGAGCAGGGCCAGGGACCTGGCCGATTCTCACCCCGGCCTCCCTCAGCTCGGACATCAAGACTAAAGGCATCCAAGGTTCCTCACTGTGGGGGGAGGGGCGTCTCAGGTGTACCCCATCCTTGAGCTGCATTTGCTGCCCTTTCCCAAGGGTCAGGTGTTTGCTACTCTGTAAGGCGGGCCTGAGGCGTTTATAAAGGCTGATCACAAAGGCATTTGGAGAATAAAAGCACTTGTGGGTGAAGATGGGAGTTGTTGCTGCCCCAGACCTCGAATGCCAAGCTGAAGCTCTGAGCTCTCTGAGCCCTGCAAGCTCCAGGAGACAGGCTGTGTGGTTGTCAGGTCAGATTGATTGTGACACTCAGGTGCCTATTAACATGGCTAAAGAGCTGGCGATGTGGTCTACCACTTTGAGCCACAGTGCCACAACTGGTTTTCTGGTGGTTCATTGGAGAAAGTCTCACGGACTTTCCTGCCTCGGCTGGCTTTGAACTGCGATCCTCCAGATATCAGCCTCCTGAGTAGCTAGGATGACAGGCAGGAGCCACCAGCGCCCGGCTCCACATTCCCTTCTCAGTGGCACTAGAGTTTGAATTCTGGGCTGTAAGCCTGCCATGTAGGCACTCTCCCCCTTCAACTACACCCCTGTACCCCTTTGTTTTCCTAATTGCGGAACACAGTTTCACATTTATGCCCCTGCCTGCTTCCTATTTGCACTTCCCAGAGAGCTGAGATGAGGCTTAGATGTTACATTATGAATTTTGGACATTTAATAAACACCTCCCTACCTTTTATTCTTTTAATTTTTTCTGCTCTCTGAAACCAAGTCTCGCTGTGCAGCCCAAGCTGGCTTTGAACTCTCGATCCTGCTGCTGCCTCGGCTGGGATTTCAGGCTGCACCTTTAGAATGCAAACATGAAGTCTGTCATGAGGTGCTTGTTTCACAAATCATCAGGAAAAAAATTAAGGGGTGGGTTCTCCATTCCTGCTGTGCCCAGGCTGTCTCCTGCCTCCTGCTTCTGACAGCAGGCCACAGGTGTGTGCCACTGTGCTCTGCAAACCGTCTTTATTCTTTCTGCTTGCTTTTTTGTACTGGGGATTGAACCATGCACTCTACCACTGATCATAATAGCCTCTTAAAAGGCTTTTTGTTTTTTGTCAGTCATGGGGCTTGAACTCAAGGCCCAGGAGCCGTACCTGAGCTGCTGTGCTCTACCAAGTGCTCTACCACTTTGAGTGGATCATGCTCTACCATTTTGAGTCATAGCTCCACTTCCACTTTTCTGGTGGTTAAATGGAGATAAAGATCTCCTACTATTTCCTGCCTGAGCTGGCTGTGAACTGTAGTCCTCAGATCTCAGCCTCCTGAATAGTTTACAGGCGTGAGTCACCAGCACCTAGCCCCTTAAATGTGTTAAGGTGCTGGAAAGGTGGCTCAGTGGTAAAGTGCTTGCCTCCCATGCATGAGGCCCTGGGTTCGATACCTCAGCACCACATAAACAGGAAAAGCTGGAAGTGGCACTGTGGCTCAAGTGGTAGAGCGCTCACCTTGAGCCCAAGAGCTGAAGGACAGCACCCAGGCCCAGAGTTCAAGTCCCACGACCAACTGACTGATCGACCAGGACACACACACACTAAGGTAAAATGTACCTAAGGAAACTTCCATTTGTGTGCAGTGGGAGGCACTTAGTGCTGTACCACCATCATCGCTCTTCATGACCCTTTCATACTGCAAAACCAAAACTGCACACAGGAACCTCTCCCATGCCTCTCCGCCCACCCTGGCAATCACTGCGTGCTGCTTACTGCGTATGGATCTGACTACACTGCAGCTGTCCTGGGGTTGGATTACTGTGCCATGTTTTTGTCCAGGCAGGAGCAGGAGCCTGAACTTCCCTCCTTAAGGTTGCCAAGTTCAATTTTATTGGGTGGGAAGGCTCTTTCTTTACCAGCGCCTGGGTCCCATTCCCCAGGACCTGCCCACCTCTTCATTGCTCAGGAGATGAAGTCTGTCTCCAGTGAGCTTTTTTTTTTTTTTTGTTGGTCGTGGGGCTTGAACTCTGGGCCTGGGCGCTGTCCCTCAGCTCTTCAGCTCAAGGCGAGCGCTCTGCCACTTGAGCTACAGTGCCACTTCCGGTTTTCTGGTGGTTTATTGGAGATAGGAGTCTCACGGTCTTTACTGCCTGGGCTGGCTTTGAACCGCGATCCTCAGATCTCAGCCTCCTGAGTAGCTAGGATTACAGGCGTGAGCCACCAGGGCCCGGCTGTCCAGTGAGTTCTAAAGGCCCACCTCTTATGGTACTGGACATTGGGACCCGCTTGAGTTTGAGAAGACAGCATCCCCTCCTCCACCCAATGCCGAGTCTCACACCTCAGCTGTCACTCCAAATGCTAAGCAGTGCTCATCCTGACCCCCAAGGCTTCCAGTGTCTGGCTGCCTAAGTATGTGAACTCTTTCAGTTCAACTTATGTCCCACTAGGGACAAAATGTCAGGAGCCAAAGTAATCTTGCCCATCTCCCGGACCACGGCAGTCTCCAGCTGCGACTGTCTACCGTGGCACAGGAGGCCCCGGTGCAAACCATCCCTCTTCTGGTGCTCCTTCGCAAGATTACTTTGCCCCCGCTGCCAGCGACTGGTCCAAACCCAGGAATGTCTTCTCCCGTCCTGTCCTTTGAGGCAAGCTCTGCCCCGAACACGGCGGCCACCCCAGCTCCCCAAGTCAGGACAGGATGGAAACTTACCACACACGTCACTAAGCAATTCCGTCATCCATCCATCACACCAAGGATGTCACCGCGCATCTAAGACTTTTGGAGATAACATCCTTTATTCTGATCTTTTCTAGATGGCTCTGAATCTCCCGTCATTGATTACAATCATCCATCCTTGAGCAGCACGCCACGTTCTTTACTGACAGGCCCGAGGCTGCCTGCTTGCCAGGGCCCAGGCTCAGCGGGGCAATGGTCTCTCCCACCGCACGAAGGTCAGGCTTTGGTCCCCACGGTCCACAGGGCCCAGCCGCCACTGAACGTGCAGGCGGCAGCCGGCAGCGCCGGGGACTCCGTGGGGAGTCCTTAGCTGACACTGTGGCCTGGACTCTGTGGTAGTGTTTATTTTCTCCTGTGTCACTTAGGTTTCATGTTATGCTTAGAAAAGACCTTCTTGCATCAGCGAAATTGTATTTTCTTGTATAATGTTCTACTCTTATTTTTTTCCCTTCTACCATTTGTTTCCGTGCTGGTAGAGAGGCTTGAACTCTCGTTGGTTTTTCATGGCTGGTGTGCTACCCACTTGAACCCTGTCTCCAGTCTGGCATTTTTACTGGTTAATCATGGAATTTACTGACCAGTCTGGCTTCAAATTATGACCCATGAACCTTAGCTTCCTGAACAGCTAGGGTTACAGGTGTGGCCACTGGCGCCCGGCTCTAGGTACTATTTGTTAAATAATCCATCTCTTCCCCACTTAAAAACACTTACCACACATTAAACTCCTACGTGCCTGGATGTTTCTGGTGCCACTGAGCAATGGGAATGCCACAATGAATCCAAGACTTTGGGGAATCTGGAGGGACCAGTGCCTCGCGCAGCGCTGGTGCCCAGCCAGCCCATCACCATGGCCAGCAGCGCTGTCTCAGGACTCACGAGCTTCACACCTGAATCCCGGAAGTCGCGAGGCTTGCTGGAATTACACTGACCTTAGGGGCCGGTTTGGGGGAGAGCGCCGGGCTCTGTAGGGGCGTGGACAGCACTAAGCAGTGTACCAGACTGCAGGTGATTCTTTTAAGCATTGGGGAGGCAGCTCTACAGTGGCAGTTGTGACTCTTCCTCCCCTGACGTGGTGAGGAGGGCCAGGCCGCCGCTGGCGGCAGCTCTGGGCAGCCCGTCCGCGGTGTGGGAGGCTTCCTCGTGCCTCCCCGCCCGTTTCTGACAGACCTGTCTAGATTAGGGTGTGCCTGTCTACTCCAGGTCTCCATGAAGGGTGAGCTCAGATTTTACGAAGCATCTCCTCAGGTCTCTATTACGACTGTTCTCTACTCCCCCAGGCTGGGCCGCCACAGGCCCCAGGAGGCTTCCAGCCGGGCTGCGGACAGTGAGAGCTGTGGGTGGCGCACACAGGGGCCGTGGGTCCTGAAGGTTCACTTTCTTGCCAGGACTGAAGCCCCATGGGGAGGGGCTTAGGGGTGGCGTGTGTGCGTAAGGGAACACCCCTGGGGGTGGTAAGGCCCAGGGTCTGGTCCCTCTCGCAAGCCCACGCCAGAGCACGCAGACCCAGTGGCAGCCATCACAAAAGCAAAGGCCATGGGGCCCTGGGGAAACAGGGATTCCTCCTCCTTCCCCACTGCCGCAGGTCGCACAGGGCCCTGGGAGCTAGCTCTCCTGGCTGGAGTCGCTCGTGCCTTCCTGACCTCTGCCCTCATCTCTGGGGCCTGTTCTGGGGAAGGCTGGGTGCCTGGCCCTGGGCCCACCTGGGCGGCCTCCAACACAAAGGCAGAGCTTGGAGCGCCCGGCCGGCCCCAGGACCTCCTCTGTGCACGTCACTGGTGTTGGCCCTTTCTGCCCTAAACACAGAAGCAATAAACAGCACGAGGGCGGAGCCCAGTCTGTCAGGGCTGGGACATCACCCCTTGGGGTCGGACCCAGTCTCTGGGGAGCAACTTGCAGGCCCAGCGCCTAACCCAGGCGGAGGCGGAAGGTGGCGACCTCCATGGGCTCCACGTACACGTCCGTGCTGTTGGACGGGGCGGCCAGCGGGTAGAGCAGCGTCAGGGAGGTCGGCTGGAGGAAGCGCACACTCAGGCCATGGAACAGGCCCCCCAGGTCTACCTGTGGAGACAGGCAGGTGCAGGCTCACTCTGGACCACATCCTCCTCCTCGGAGTCTGCCCCGAGGGCCGGGTGTGGCACAGCGCTGGCTGAGGGCAGGGGCTGGGTCCTAGCCAGGGCCTGGAGCCACCAGTGGGACTCTCAAAGGGAGCACAGGGCTCTGAGGATTAGATTTCTGGAGCTTTCCGTGAGCTGTGTACAGTCTTCTCAGAGAGCACAAGTTCTTGGGCTCTGCACCGTCTCTGGGAACAGCCCCTGCAAGCCTCAGTAATGGAGGGCATGCGATCCACTCCCTCTCCCTCCAGCAACTGCCCAGCCTAGGGGCTTCCCACCGCGCTGGCGCCCGCTCACCTTGCCTTGGCTCGTAGTGCAGTTGAAGCCCAAGTTCTTGGCCTCGAGGCCGCAGTCAAAGCCCTTGCGGTGTAAGATGAGGGCGGCATCCTCCGAGGGCAGGGAGTCCTCCTGGGGGCACAGGCAGGCTGTGGATGGAGCGCCCCCGCCGAGGGGGCGGGGCGGGGCGGGGCGGGACACTCACCTCTGCGGAGAGCGTGCGCAAGTTGAGCAGGTGAAAGTCGCAGGGCAGAGCAGAGGCCAGGGGACGGAAGGGGTGCAGCGTGGGGCTGGAGACCCGACTCCCCGCCACGGGCAGTGTGAGCACCGGGGTGTTGAGGAACGCGGAGGTCAGGTGGCTGAGGAGGGATGGGTAGCTGCTCGAGAGCTCGTCTCGGACCTGCAGGAGGGACAGGACACGGGTGAGGGACCGTGCCAGGCCAGGCAGACGCTGGCTGCCTTGCCTCAGGCCCTGTCCCCCCAGCCTTCACGTGTGGCCATTCCCATGGCAGTCACCTCAAGAGAGGCGAAGGAGGCTAACGCAGGGAGGTCCTGGTGGCACGGGTGGCACCCGCCTCCCCCACTACATGCGGTACGAGCTGCGGGCGCCGGCAGCAGCTCTGACTACAGAGAGCGCGCATGCACTGGTACACCACGTCATCTGCGTGACCTCTCCCTTCCTCCCCCCACACACAGCGCTCCGTTTGGAGCAAAGTCAGGCTGGTGAAGGCAGAGAAAGCCATGAGCAGGGGGAAGTAGACGGGACATGCTGGGCAGGGGCGGGCAGACAAGAGGAGTGGACCGGTGCGGCTGGGAGGGGGCTCCAGGCTGCACGAGGGGGTTGGCACATGGGAGATGCCCTTGCCACAGCCTAGGAACGGAGCCCTGCTCTGCCCTCCCAGCCTCCCGGGCCACACCCAGGCCCTGAGCTCCGGTCCAGGCCTTGTCCCCACTTTTACCTCACTGCCGCGGGTGCGCCGCTCCAGCAGGAGGCGGAAGTGGTTGCAGGTGACCTTGTTGTCCTTCAGCCCCTGGCCTAGGCCCCGGTTGTCATCCTGCATTAGCCGCCGGTCCAGGATCACCTCCAGCTGTCCTGTGGAGACCATAGGGAGCCACGGCTACCACAAGCAGACCCTCGCTTGGGAGGAGGCCCCCCCACGGGCCCTCACGAGGAGCCCAGAGGGGCACCATGGAACCCTAGAGCTGCGAGGGCCAGTGGGGGGCTATCCCCACTCTCAGGACCGCTGACCCCATGGCTCACCACTGGACTCAACAGTGGGACCCAGGCCCAGGGCCTGGCAGGCACAAAACAGAGCAGAGTGGGCTGGGTACCAGTGGCTCACGCTATAGTCCTAACTACTCAGGAGGCTGAGATCTGGGGATCATGGTTCAAATCCAACCCAGATAGGAAAGTCCATGAGATGCTTATTTCTAATTAGCCACCAAAAAGCCAGAAGTGGAACTGTGGCTTAAGAGAAAACACCCAGGGGAAAGGTAGCTCCGTGGTAGAGTGCTTGCCTTGCATGTATGAGGCCCTGGGTTCGATTTCTCAGCACCACGTAAGAAAAAAAAAGAAAAAAGCCAGAAGTGGCGCTGTGGCTCAAGTGTTAGAGCACTCGCCTTGAGCTGAAAAGCTGGGGGACAGCGCCCAGGCCCAGAGTCTAGGCCCCACAACCGGACCCCCCCCAAAAAAAGACAACACCCAGGCCTTGTGTTCAAGCCCCAGGACCCACACACAACAAGAAACGATTTAGCCAGTAGCAGT